GGCCTAAGCCTTGAGTTTTAGGGGTTTAGGGTTTTAGGGTTTTAGGGTTTTAGGGTTTTAGGGTTGAGGGTATTTGTTGGTTTAAGGGCTTAGGGCTTGGAGTTTAGCAATTTGGGTTCTGGGGTGTAGGGTTTGGGGTGTAGGGTTTTGGGTACAAGCTTGAACGAGCTTTTAGAAACCCGCGCCTGGGCAAAATCACTTTGCACGAGCAGTAAGAATGCCTCACCAGGACGAGTGAAGACAGTTGTCTCGCCAGCCCGCCAGCAACACTCCATGAGCGGACATGAAATTCAGTGGTCCGTTTTGGAGTTCGAGCGGGGAGGAGCCCTGATCCTTCGTTATCGTTGGGCCGTGGTGGAAAGCGACTACGAATGACTGGGACATGGCAAAGACAAGCACAGAGCTGCACTCGTCGCCTTGTGGACCGTCAGGCCAACCTGCCAACACAAAACTTTTACATACTTTTACCGCCAACATCCGGGATTCTGCGGAGGCTACGGCCTCCACACTCTCCAAACCTTTCGCCATGTAGGGCAGGTCCGCCAGGGGCATCTTGCGCTCCTCGCCGCCGTGGGGGGGGGGCCCGCTTTTTGGGAGTCTCAGGGCAGTCAGTTTCTCGGCCTTGTCGACCCACACCAAGCGGCCCTCGGCGTACTTCTTTGTCACGCCCAGGACGCCCTCTAAGTAAGTGATCGCCTCAGCTAACAGAGAGCATCCGGCATCTCTGCACCAGCAGTTCAGGGGTCTTGCGATGTCTCTGCATTCACTCCTAGGATGCATATTCCTGTGGCTGTGGGGCGCCGGAAGTCTTGCAAGAACCCCGCTTCGCACTTACAGAAAGGCAAGTGTATGAGAAAGTGCGCACCAAGCATCCGAGTCGGAAATGCACATACGGCCGGACAACAAGCGCTGTGCAATTTGAATAAATGTCGGCGGCCGTTTTCCTGCCAGTGCTCTGTTGAAGTGCGTCAACCAGTGCAGAACTTGCAAAAGCTGAAGCGGCCTGCGAAGACATACTCAGCGTGCCAGCTGTTTCCGCTTAAGTGGGGCTGTACATGGCAGAGTCTCGACAACAGGGCGGTCGCCGGCAGCTGTACGTGATTAAAAGACCTGAGAGCAACGAAGGATCCTTTTGACCAATTCTTGAAACTGGGCGTTACAGGTGAGTTGGGGGGCCGTTCCGTCTCACTGGAGCCTCGTGACTCCTACAAGTAGTGCACTGGTCCATAAGTTTGCATTGCGAACTGAGGGGAAAGGCACCTTTGGAAAGGACACGCCTCGGTGTACTGCACTCACTTACTAAAAGTCGGACGGACGCGTGCAGAAACGCAGATGCCTGCGAATGATGGCTTGTCCGAGGGCAAGACGAAAGCAGCACGATGCGGGGACGCACGGGCTTGGATTGCTGTTTGGGCTGAGCTCAAGGCACTCGAGCATTGTCGAGCGCGTTGAAGGTCGTCTTCTCTCCCATGCACTCCCGCGAGATTCCTTCGGAGCGCATGTCCTTGAGCCAGGATTCGGCTTGGAGCAGGACCCTGATGGTCTTAAGACTGACCGAGGCTCTACAAGGAAGACGTGGGCACCCAGCGACCTGGCATCAAGAGGAAACTCCGGCAGAGGAAACTCCTAGAACAAAATCCTCTCCAAAGCCCCTCTTCGGGGGGGACCTCTGGTCGATGACGAGCTGAGCGACCACCAGGCCGTAGTCGGCAGCCAAGCCTTGGGAGATCCTTAGCAAAGAGATGCCGAGGCCTCCTCTCACATGGCCCTAAACGGCGGCTGAGGGCATGTCCAGGTCTTCTCTGCCGATGTGCTTGGCGTATGCAGCTCGAAGCCTCCTCACATTAGCAAGGAAGTCTTGCATGGAACCAGAATTGGACCATAATCACCCTGCCCCTGTCTACTATGGCCTCGTCCCTGGTTGTCATGCCACACCCAGGTGGCCACTGTTTCCACCACCAAACCGCTGAGAACGCCTGCAAGACTTATAAATCAGACGATGTACCGCTCTCTTGCAAAACTGGCTCTGATGCTAAACCCTGAACCCTGAACCCTAAACTAGCGGTCTAACACCTCTCTCCGAATCCGGAACACCTGCGCCAGTCTCCGTCAGCATGAAGCAGCCCAGCAGTCCAGAGCTCTGGGCATCTTTCAGCCAACCTCGGTTTGGTCAAAACCCAACCAAAAAAACACAGAGGTCCGTCCCAGACCAAACCAAAGCACATCGTAACTGTTTCATACCTGTGTGCGACAGAAGCCACTTTTTTGCTCCTCGCTGCCGAGGGCGAGGATGGTTCCGCAGAAGAGGTTGTAGTGCACCTGCCCATTTCTCAAGTCGGAAGAAATGACGGATTGGGCCAGGCTCAGGTTGGAAAAGATGCTGTCGGGGCGCTGTCATGCGAATACCAAGGCAGCAGGAAAGGCACTCCTGAATGGAAACTTGGTCAAGGCATGCCCCCATTTATGCGCCAAAGGGGGGCCGGTGTGTCCTGTCGTGCCATGACCCGATGGCTGGCAAAGAAATCCAGCATCCCCTCTCCTGAAACCGAGGTCAGAGGCAAAGCCCCCAACTCTCGGGCTCTGAAGCAGCGAAGCAGAGTCAAAAGCAACGGAACATCCGTGCTCCAAGCGGCGCGTGGTGATGCTGTCCAGGCTCAGATATCCACCTGCAAAGGTAGAGTACAAACACACATCTCGGCGATCCTTGCCAAGTGCCGCAACGCTTTGAAGGGCCTCTGAGAAGAGTGCGCAGCAGCTCAGCATGCTCAGTCCAAGGGGCGTTCTCCTTCAAAGCTTCACAGTGCACACGGGGTGCGGGTCTCCGAGAAGATATCAAAAACCACTCTCTTCAGTCAGTAGCGGTGATTTCTGTGCAGGCGAGAGTCATTCACCTGGGAGGGGTCCAAGAGCGACTGAAACTTCTTCAGCAAGCAATTCTCTCGGCCTTGCACATTCAGGTCTTAGGTCTTAGATGCTCTCGTTCTCTGCCCTGGTATATACTTGTGCAGAAGTGTTCGGATCAGCCCAGCGACGGCGAAGGTCATTGCTCCTTCAAGCGAACATGGCTCGAAACGCTGAGTGTGCCCTTCATGATGGTCCAGCTCCAAAGAGCTGAATTTCGAAAGGGTTCGACACAAAACTCGGGCAAGCTGCTGCAGTCTGCTGTAGGCGTCCGTTTTAGGGTCCTCGGTTGAATCCTACATCCGGTGCTTGTGTCCCATGGTGTCACCTCGAAGCCTCTCTAAGTCGCCAGCTCGCAACGAAGGAAGCCCGCCGTTCGCACGCTGCAGAACCCGGGACCATGGCCAGTGGATGGTGTCCCAGGTCAGCAGGGCCTCTGGCGCAGCGCCGGACCCGGTCGACGCTTTCTAGGAGACGGGGAACAGAGCGAGAGAGAGAGAGAGCGAGAGAGATAGAGAGAGCGAAGGCAGTGCCTGCGTCGAGGCCACAATGGCAAAGGCCTCACTTCAGAAGCAATCACAGCCACTGTGCGTGCCTCGCTGTCTACAGGATCCCCACGTATTGTGCCACCAGTTACATGTCTACGACAATCGCTGCATGGACCCATTGAACTTGGCCATTCAGGCAAAGTGTCCGTGACAAAGGTGCCGAAGGCCAAGGTTGCAGTTGCCCACGGAGGTAGCACTGCCTGATCCGCTGGGAAGTTTGGCTGCAGCTGCTTCATGTTCGCTTGAAGAACAGTACCATAGAAGCTCCGGTAAACAGAGAATGCGAGGCATCACATTGCCGAGGCACGAGGACGGCAGACAGAGTCGCCTCATCTGCTCGCAAGCAACAAGCTGAACAAATAGGCTTCTTTCACCCTTGGCAGTGCAGTGTTTCCTGTAGCTGAAGACTTTGATACTATCCAGAAGACAATTTGAGAAGGAATTTCATGGATGCTTCCTACAAATTATTGTTATTGTTACTATTATTATTATTATTAGTATTATTATTAATACTAAAACAATTATTATTACAATGGCCTTCTCAAGCTTCCCGCTTACAGCTCGTCACAGTGGCCTCTTCCATGGGCAGCGCGGTCCAGCCATGGGATGCGAGGCCAGTCTCCATTTCCCGCAGTAGTAATAATAGTGATAAAAAGAATTTAACGAGGTGGCTGAGGCTAGACAGCTGGTATTGGTGCTCCTGTTGCAGTACTGCTCTGTCTATTGGCCCTCCGGCAACATCTGTCGAAAGAACTTGGTGTTCTCGCGCAACGTCGCATTACAGCCGTCCATGCAATGCAACCTTAATCACAGATGCTGCGGTGCACTGTGCCATTTCCGAAAGATAAACCACGAACTTGCCGGGTTGTGTGCTGCACAAGCTTGGAAAGCAACAACATCGATCCACGGCAGGCTTCGCGACTCCTTCGATCCCTTAGTGCGCAAGGAGGGTTGCTCACATCCTTGTGACTCCATCACAAGCCAACCCATCAGAAACGTGAACCGTGTTCTGCAAACGCTCGTCGAAGGCAGCTGTTTGTTTTGAGATCCGCACCACCCTGCCCGACTCGGGAAGCACCTCGCTGGGGCTTGAGAGTTATAGAGTCTCAGGCTTAGCCTTTAGGGTTCAGGCTCTTGTTTCCAGAAGGGCGGCTTGGAATCTGCTGGGCAACTGCTGAGCCGCTTGCTGGGAAGGGTGGTGCCCGAGTGAAGCACTCGCCCGAGAGCCGCGGAAGGATCTCAGTGCGAGCTGATACCGGGGCTTCCTATCATATTTAGGGTTTGGGGTTTAGGTGTATTTTAGCTCATATTATGGTATGTTGTATTGTGTTTCTATTATGCTGCATTATGTCATAGTGCCTTGTGCAACCTTGTAACAATGATCCTATACTCTCTCGTGTCTGTTTCAAGGGTACCGTATTCTCTAGTCTGCAACTCTCTCGTACTATACAATCTTAGCCTGATCTGCACAGCCCTTTCGCCACAGGCTCAACCATGGCGGCCCGAGTTTCAAAAAGTGAGGTTCTCAGGACGATGCCGGCACCGCATTACCAGCTCGATCTGACATGACCTCCAAGGACAAAGAGGTTTCGGTTACATCATACTATATTGAATACATTATTGTACTACCTTCACATTCTCTTATATGAATAGTAGGTTGCATTTTATATTATGTTACCAATTGTGGAAGTATCAAGGGTGTAATCCCCAGCAAAAGCACGGCAAACGGCTCACCTGCTTGTGGCCTTCCCATGGCTGTGGGAAGAAGCAAACAGCAGCGCATTGAGCCACGACTTTGCAGGGGTTCACGGGTATTTGGACCATGAAGTGTCTGGCCTACACCCAGCGGATGCTGGTCTGGATCAGCATTCATGTCAAATGTTGAAACAGCCGAGGGTGACCATTTTTCGACATAGCGCTCTTCATATGCAAGTGCTGCATGGACGGGTTCATTAATGGCAATTCGCGCAGCTACACCTTCCGAGTTCGCCCCGGCCAACACAAACTACTGCCAGTTGCAGCTCTCTTACGTCGTGTAATTGAAACGCACAGGCCTATAAATAGGGGCCCAACTCGGATGCCGAACTTACGCTTGTGCTCGACTCCTGAGACCTTTGGGAAGCAGCGAATTTCATTTTAGGGTTTAGAGAAGCCGTAGGCATGTGCTTCGCGACAAGGATGCTTCATCGCGATGTCTTTCTGTTGCTTTCACGTGTTGTGGCACTCCCATTACTAGTCCACCACTTCCAGACATGATGTCTGCCTTAGTTGATTGCAGTGGCCAGAATTTCAGGAGATTGCTTTTGTGGTTGGAATCCTACAACGGACAGGAACACAAACTAATGGGTAGCAATTGGGAAATTCCAGCCTGTGACATTTTGGCGATCGCTAGGCTGCTAAAAGCTCGACCACCAAATCTTGGCCATGCAAGAGGACAGGCTCGAGCCACGATGGCCAAAATGCTGTCTGCTCACACAGGCAGTCTAAGTCTAAGGCCCTATGCGACCACCGAGGCCAGCGTTGTCCCCGCTAGCCCTCCTACTGGGCACCGCCAGCTGCCAGCCTTTTGGCACAGATGACAATGCATGAGGTTGAACGTCTGCAATGCTGGGCAACACCAGCACGACCCAGACCAATCTGCAACGCGTCAGAGCATGGTTCGTGCTTTTGTTCAGCACGCGAACAGGTTAAAGAAAGATTAACCAAGCCATGATCCACAGCTATGACTGCAACAAGAGGGTCGAGATTGGTGTGAGTTAATTGTCAAGCAATGTCAAGCCCCTTGTCGCCTCACAGCCTTTCTTAACTCAGAGTTCCTGCATATTGACACCTAAGTGACATCTGAAAGTGTGGGGCCACAGGGTTTGCTCGACCTACATGGCGCACGGCCTCGCAAGGCAAGAAAATTAAAAGCCCCGGCAGGGCCTGCAGAAAGGTGCGTTTGCTCCAAAAGAGATCACTGCGACACTTACCGGGAAAGTCCGGCAAGGAAACAGGTCTTACACGCGCGGCTGCTGGAAGCCGCGTCACCCCTGCGATGAGAGGAGGCTCTTGTAATTGCGAGAAAGCTATAACATTATACTGTATTGTATTACAATATTGTGTTATGTCATGTCATACTGTATCATACTATGTTGTATTGTACTATGCGATAGTATAATATGCTGTATTCTGCTATATTCTGTTAGATTATACTATGCTACATTACATTATAGCATACTATACTATATTATATTATATTGCAACATATTGTTTTATATTATATTATAATATGTTGTATTACGTTATATTATATTATATCATAGTGTGTCACACATCATGTTATGTTATGTTACAATATGTCATATTCGACTGCAATATAATATATATTCTATTATACTTTTCGTGTGTGTAATATCATGTGTTATATTATATTTTACTATACTAGGGTATCTTATATTATGTCGTTGTATATTATATCATTTTAAATGATACTATACTATAGTTCTACTCTATTCCATTCTAGTCTAATCTATGCTATTCGTGTATTTTCATTTTGCTTTCTGTATGTTTGTGTTATCTGTTTATATTGCATTGTAGTTTGCAGGACCAAAGCAGTTCAGAGCGGTTCTTGACCTTCCAGGAGCTGGCCTGAGCCCCCTTGGAAAACCTTTCAAAGCCCGAATTTCGAAAGCCTCTCAAGGCCCTAAAAGCCCTGGAGGGCCTAAAGCCTTAAGCCTCCCCCCACCCCCGTCCGCCTCATATCACTGGGTTCGCGACTCGGATGGCTGGAATGGACATGGCAAGTCCTACGAAGGAGGTACTTTGTGGCACGAGGCACCACATTTTCAGGCGACGTCCTCGGCTTTCGGTGAGAGCCACGGAGAGACTGTCGGCGAAAGGTCAGACGCGGCAGGCCTTGGGCCCCCCAAATTCCACTCGTCTCCCGCGCTCTGAGCACCGCAACCTGGGCTGCGGACGCTTTGGCCCAGGGTCCTGCAGCAGGTTTCTGCTCCGCACTTGAGTGCGCTTGGAAGGTTCCTGCTGGTTCCGAAACATTGGGCGAGTCGGCTCTCAGATTCGAGACAGTGATTCTAGAACACAAGGTTGGTGTTCCGAAGACTGCTGGTGTTCCGGTGTCTGCTTCTTTGTGCCCTTTGGGGTCAAAAGGCCTTCGGTTTCTCACCACTCAGGATCCGTGCAGCTGGCTCATGCTTCCGCAGTCCTATAATACTACATTACTACAACATACCATGATATACAATCATATACTAGCACATGCGATGATATACAATATTATATTATATACTGTAAAATAATGTAACATGCAGCGCAGACCTGGAATTAGCATGCATCGACGGTGGAAGACTCCGTGGCTCCTGGAATTATCTGCCTCGAGGGTATCGGGGTGTGCACCTTTCGGTCAATGTGGCACGATGCAAGTCCGGCATGTGACCATAAGCCCTGTAGAAGGCGCACCGCCGCACGACTCCAAGAACAGACGGCCGGCGCATCAGAAACCTGCGTGCGACAGGTTCACGACAGGAGAGTAGCGAGTCTGCTCTGTCAAACGCTGACCTCTCATGGTGGCAAAGCTGCGTGCGGAAGAGATGAATATTACTATTGTCAATACTACATGTATTACTCTTCTTAATACTCTTGCTGTTACTACTACTATACATTATTACCATTCTTGTTATTATTCTTGTTACTATTCTTATTACTATTCTTACTACTATTCTTACTACTCTTCTTACTACTATTCTTGTTACTATTCTTATTACTATTCTTATTACTATTCTTATTACCATTGTTAAGCAAAGGTTTTCGTCTCCAGGCCGGCTCTCGGCGCTCCGGGCAAAGCGAGCAGAAGTCACTTGGCCTAAAGGCTCAAGAGCGAGGAGCCCCGAGCATCGCTGTGCGCCATGTAGGGGGCCTGAAACTTCTCCAAGACACCAGGGTTTAGGGTTTAGGGTTAGAGTTTAGGGTCTAGGCTCTTTTGAAAAAGCATAGCAACATACCAGATCATCTTAGCTTCGAGAAGTCTCCACTGCCATATGTATTCTGTGCTTTGCTTTTGGTAAGGTAACTGGACAGCATAGGTTGCAGGCCCCTTAGTGCAAGTGCAAGGTGTGCAAGAGCCGTGGCAAGCCGAGAGAGCCACTTAGAGGCTGCAAGCTCAAGCTGCTATGCCAAGGTCTCGTAGTCTGTTTCAAATCATCGAATTCCACCCCCTACAATCCTCTGCCCTGTCATGGGTGAGGAAAAAGGGCTGTGCAAACCATCCGCTAGGTCTATGGCCGCGCCTGTACAACTTCTTGCGAGATTTTCGAGGCCGGACAAAACAGTCCCGCAGCACTTTCCCCAATTACCCTAAGGTCAAACACACAGAGATTCGGCAACAAGGAAAAGAGCAGCTTTTGGGCCGGGCTCATGGCCAACGCCACGTGCGGGCGGGAGGGACAGAAGGCACAGGGCTGTCTGCAGGCACTTCTGAGAATGGGTCTTTCCACTGACCTTAGCTTACTTCGAGACAGTCAAGGCCCGGAGATGACACCAAAAGCCCGGCGTCTGGTCCGGACGAGGGGCGCTCCTCTTCAAACACACTTGTCCATTGTATATCATCCAGAATTGCCTTCACTGCATCGTTGAACTTTGCCAAATCTCCAAAAGCAGTCTGGATGATGTCCAGCATTTTCTCCTCCGCGCTCGGTGAGTTTGACAAGTACTCAACAGCCCTTCCTTGGATCTTCGAAACTCACCAGGCATCCTTCGTCTGTGAATGTGGATGATATAATGCAATATACTATGTATGATATACTCTAACATACTATAACATACTATTATATACTGCAATATACTGCGATTTACTATAACTTCCTATGATATACTATAGATCGACCCTGGTCTGCTCCTTGTCTTCCTTGTTGAAGCAGTCCTGGGAAGGCAAAGATGATGCAGGTTGAGAAGGCTTTCATCCCTGAATATCGACGCCGAAGGCGCGCAATCCATGACGTCAAAGTTCAAGAATGACGCTTTCAGCTTCTGCCGATCTTCGTTTTCATGACCTGCAGAGCCAGCAAAGGCACGATAACGATAACCGGATATGGAAAGTGAGAAAAAGCAACTGGTCAAAGAAGTGAAAAAAATCAGTCGGGGACCACGTCGCAAGACAGGGATGATGTTGATCTCGCGAAGATTGCCTCCAATATGAACCTTGTAAATCGCTCGGTGAGGCGGCTTCGGGGCGACAAGGCGGAGGCCGAGAAGCAAAAGTGAAGAGCTCGACGATACACCACAAGCGACCTCAGAGCAAGACCAAGAGAGATGGGAAGAGAAGCCATGAACACTTCTATTTTTTGCTCTCCAAGTCTTACTCAAACTCCCATATTTGTACTTGGTACCCTTCAAGAGAACCCTTCCCTTCAAGAGAACTCTTAAAGGAAGCCTGAGGGTCTTAAGGTGCCCTCTCCCCCTCCGTTTCAGCCACAGGCTCTGAGATACGTAGGGCCACAGAAGACGACCAGCTCGGAGCAGCCGCTCAAGAAGATGGGCAGACCTGGGTTTTATGGTCTAGGGAGTCTAGGGTATAGGGGTTTAGGGGTTTAGAGCTTAGGGCTTCAGGGGTTTAGGGGTTTAGAGCTTAGGGTTCAGGGGTTTAGGGATTTCGAGCTTCGGGTTTAGGGGTGTAGAGGTTTAGGGGTTCAGGTAGAAGTGGCGCTGTGCAGAAATCTAGCGCCTTGGTCGCCTCCAAGGCTTGATCCAAGTGACACCGCAAGTCTGCCTCAATGTCGTTCTGGTCCTTACATGGGAGTTTCCTAAAACGAGGGGTACCTTAATATGGGGGTCCTTATAATAAGGATCCTACTATTTAGGGTACTATATTCGGGTCCCCTACCCCACATCTGAAAGCCGTGCACGCAACCCCTTCTTTACAGCTTTCCCACTGAGAGCAGGTCAATGCAGCACTTGTCGAACCAAATGTTGGGAGCGCGCTGCCTTTCCGAGACAGGATGAGATAAGCTCGATGTGATGAGTCCAGTGCCTGCTCTCCTCGAACTTGGACTTCCACCAGCTCAGCGCTTCCTGAAGGACTTTCGGACATGCTGAAGAGTCCTGTGGCTCCTGTCCAGCCGCCCCCGCTGCCAAAACTGATGCGCAGTCACGGCTACAGCTTGTGAAACTCTGCTCTAAGTATGTCAGTCGTAGCAGTCAATGGCAGAGCACCCACTTGGCAGGAGCATCATCATGCCAAGAGTGGGAGACGAAGGCATCACCTTGCAGCCGACACGAGCCGGCAAGCAACTCTGCACAGGAAGCCTCCGCAAAACCGCAGAACTCCGAGGCACATGTTCCAAGCTTAAAGCCGCGCGAGAGCTGGAAGACTTGTGGACCTAAGAAGTTTGGGCAATGAGAGAGATGATGCTTTGTAAAGCAGCCGATTGCAGCCAAATGCCTCCATCTGCTGCAAGGACCCCATGCATATCTGAAGCTTACGCCGGGAGTTTCCAATTGTTCGGGCTTGAGGTCCCAAAAGTGTTCTGCACCTCCACTCCTGCAAATCGGAGCCCTTGGGTTCCGACTTGGCTTGTTGTTTGCCAGCTCGTCTTGACTAAGCCTCACAGATTGAAGCGAGGCAACCGTGATGGAAGCAAAACAGACTTGTCATGACGCCTGGAGAAGTCCACACAGCGAAACCGCTTTTTGGCTTGAGTCATGACCTGAAGGGGAGACATACATGAAGTACGCTCCAGTCTGCAAGAGCAGCCGCTGCAAGTGTACCTCGTGGATGGAGCAGTTGCCCACTAGGCCGGCAATGCCCGCTGCTGCAGCGCGGTTCTCCCGGTAAGAGAAGAAGTTGGCAACAGAGCCCTGCCCGTGGTTCTGCCAATGCTCTCATACTAATGTCTAATTGGAGCTCTTCTTCTTCGACACTACATGATCGGCAAGCAAGAACCCACAGAGGGTTGCTTGCGATCTCGCCAAAAAACGGCTTCAACGAGGTTTGAGGTCTCACGTCTCACGCACACCAGAGGTGACACTAGATCCGGCCTGGATGCTGCTGCGGAGATTTCTATTGCGCGCTATCGCCATTGATGGAAGCATACCGACCAGGCGCATGCTTATCGGGTCGATTCTCTGGATGAGTATGCCGACCTTCCGCAAAGCACTTATGCAAAGGGCCTGACAATCATGGAAAAGAAATGCTGCTGAGGCTATGCCAGGTCACTGCACTGCATTTGACAAGCACAGCCACGATTTCCTGGGCATGAAATACGGAGTAAGCTGGACTCAGTCAAACATCTCTACGCACCCGCACGGCAGTATAGCTATTCATGTCATGTTGAGCCGCTGAACCCTGGGTGCACACGATATCACTTTGCAATACTGCGGCTCTTCTCGCTAACCAGATCATGCCGTGAATGTTCCGATTAACTCGCTTCCCAAACATGCTCATGAATCATCGTCCCAACCAAGTCTCAATCGACAGAAACAGCGAAATGATAAACCACATCATCCTGACGGAGTCAGAGACGGGAGAAGTTGGAGAAGGCTGGAATGTGACTTCAGCCTCTTGCAAGTATGCGACATGCTGGTGTCCAAACTCCATCGGAGCTAGCACACACGGTTACAGGTACCTCTTTTGCGAAGTCCCCTGCCGGCTACAACTTGCCATCGCTCCTCTGCATACGCGTCACATCATGAAGTAATCCGACAAGGAAATTCGCCACGACCACAAAGGCCAGTGCTGCCATTCGCCTAAGGCTCCCTACGATGCAGCAGTCCCTGGGTGGTCGAGATGCTGCGCATGCGCCGACACAGAGAAATCACTGCCTGCATCCACGGCACAAGCAGACCTGAACGAGGCTCATTTCGCAGCCAATAATTGGCATTTCAAAACCGTACCTTGCACCACCAGGACTGTGGGTTGCAGTGTCGCCACACGCTACGGCATGGCCGAACAAATCAGTTGATGCAGCAGCGCGCTTCAGCTTTCGACAAGCAGCATGCTGCATTCACCAGTTCTGCGCTTCTCATTGGTTTGCCACAGTGTCGGTCCCACGAGGAAGACGGCCTTAAAGGAACCCAAGCACAGGAGACCTGAAAAGTCCGAAGCTCCCACCGAAGTTCCTGGCCGGAGTAGCGAACCAGCTACTAAGCGGTAAGGGCCTAGGGTTCAGGGTGGCTGGACCCTGGAGGTTCTCCGGAGACCATGTCTTGCTAGAAGAGAAGAACTTGTTGCAAGAGCTCGAAAGTACCGCAAATACCACTGATTTTGCACTTACGGAACATAGCTATGCTACTCGGAACATGTTGTCTTCGCGCGTACTTATAGCTGGGAATTACGTGCACGAAGATGTTAGAAAGCAAGGTTTAGGCACTCGTCGAACAACGAAAACATGCGAAAACTCGAGGTTTTGTCTTCTGTGAGTGCGCAGTAAAATTGGAAAACATGACGAAACCCCTGCGTTTCATGGTGTGTTTGCAAGAGGGCACCGAATTCATTGGTATTTACAGTACTTCGTACACATCGACAGAAACAAGGAATCCCGATAGTCGTGGTTTTATGTGGTGTTTCGGTTCACAGTTATGGGTTTCGTCTGCTGTTGCCTGAAAGAAAACATGCAAAACTCGAGGTTTTGTCGCGTGCAAGTGCGGAGAAGTACTTCAGCACATCAGGAAAACCTTGCGTTTCACGGTGTATTTGCAACAGAGTAGCCAATTCATTGGTATTTGCACTACTTCGCACACGTGGAGAAAGACAGGGTTTACCGATGGAGTTGGCTTTATGCGGTTTTTGGGGTTTAGACTTTAGCAAAGTTTAGGAAATAACATCATCATGAACCATATCATCATCAAGATCATCATGAAGATCATCATCAAGATCATCATCAACATCATCGTGAACATCATTTTGAACATCGTCGTGAACATCATCGTGAACATCATCATGAACATCATCGTGAACATCATCATGAACATCATC